TATGGGACAATCACACAAAAAGTGAAATACTGTTTACAAAGATTGGGAACAAAACGAACAAAAACGATTAACGACCAGTTAAGATTGTTATCCCTCCGATGGCACGGTGGGTCCTCCCCCCCACCCCCACCCCACCCTGGAGTTTCCTCTATCACGACAACAGCATTTGTTCCCATAGCGCATCGTAATAAAAGCTCTACAGATCTTATGTTTGTTGTTAGCAATCTACACAACGTTAAATAAAGATTATTTATTTATTTATTTATTTATAATGCAAGTCATTCGTAGCTTCTTATTTTGTGTATAGAGGACATTCCCTCCAACACAAAAAAAAACCGGCTGTGATTCAAGTAACGGCCTAATTAAGCTGGCTCACTACTTTCGCGTTTCACTACACCATATTCTATTCTTATTGATTTTCTCCCTGTGTATCGAATAAGAAGGGTGAATTAAGCTTGCTATTCCAACCATTATTTCTATAAATAAATGTCAGCATGACGTATTCCAGGTAACCAGGCAGCTAAATGAGACCATGAATAAACGCATCAACTGCAACATGAAAAATCAATATGTAAAAGCATGGGTAAATGACTTTCTAAATCTTTTTATTGGTTTAAGTGACTCAGGTTGAGCCTCCTGTTATTGCAACAGTACTAAAATAACTGGTCGTTACAGAAACCAGGGGTTATTCCAGCAATGTGAGTTATACAAATTCCGTTTTCAATGAGCATGAAATTATATTTGATAAAATAACACAAGAAATACACATGATGAGAGGATCGCGGGAAGGGTAAACACACAACCCGGTGAATCCATCCACGATATCCAGGGGCTACGCTCTGCACCCCTGGACTATGTCTTAGCAAAATCGAAGGCTCAGTGTGCGCCACCTTGTGGATGAGACAGGAAGACTAGTTTAATTTTTGATGATCAACGGAGTTTCTCAATTGTGTAAGGGTAAAATAATTTATTGACTGGCTCTGAAGTCGGGCGTCTCTCCTTTGTAATCTTCGAAAGACAGGTATCAGCCTAGCGATTGGTAAGGTTTGTGTTACCTGAAACCAATCAAACAGCTATGTTCGTGCCTTCAATTTTGCTATGAAATATTCCAGGGGTGCAGAGAGCGAGAGTGAACGTAACCCCTGGATATCGAGGATGAGGTGAATCAAGCCTGTGGGAAGTCTAGTAACCAGCACATGTAGACAGTACAACTGGATTTTGAAGCGAAATGGGCATACGTTTGGAAAATGCAGGACTCACGAAGAGGTTTTTTTTGCGTTTACATTCTATCAACAGATATGGTCTTTTAAAGACGTGCCAGGTTTTGGTGGTGAAGGAAAGCCGGCGTACCCGGAGAAAAAACACAGACCTGCGGTCAGTTCCTGGCGACTGTCCCATGTAGACATCATGAAACCAATAACTTGAAAATAACGTATAATCGGTCGTTTATACAGTATCACTCACACAAAGAACGGGAGGTCACAAACAATAAAAAAAACTAATTTATAGCTGCAAACATCTCAGCCATCGAAAGGCTAAAGCCGTCATTTTCAATCCAGATATTTAAAGGTCAGGAGTTTTATATAAATAGCATCCCCTATCTATATACTCCCATTAAGCACTGACACATTTGACTCCATATAGACCTCGCAGCCAATCCGAGGCCAGGTCCGGCCATCTTGCACCCCGAATTCAAACATTACTAATTTAAGGTAAAGGGTACAACTGCATCAGTTATACTCGCGAAAAAGAGTTCCACTCTATATTTGTGTTGTTTTACTCGGAGTGTTCTCCCTTCTTCATAGAAGAAATCCTCGGTACTCCACGGATTACGCTCACTTTCGCTTTCTGCACCCCTGGAATATGTCAAAGCATTGAACGCACAAAGGTAGCATGTTTGATTGGTCTCAGGTAAAAAAAACACTGACCGATCGCCAGGCTGATACATGTCCTTTGAAGATAACAGAGGAGCGACACCCGACTTCAAAGCCAGTCAATGTTTACCATTACGCGACCGCGTAATTCTTTTGATGAATCTTGTCTGATGCAAAAGGTGGCGCACACTGAGCCTCCAATTTTTCTATGACATATTCCAGGGGTGCAGAGCGCGAACGTGAGCGTAACCCCTGGAGTGTTGAGGATGTATAAAAGACGAAACAGCCAAAAACAAGCTTTTCTGAGAGTAATTTCCCCTGTTCAGTTTGACATGTGCTTTGTAGCCCATAAATTGGACATCCATTTTGTTGCTATGCTTGTGTGATTCCTGTATGGCAGCGGTTCCGAGTTCGGTCCCTACCATTTTCTTTGTTTTTTTAACATTTGAATTTCTAATAACTTAAAATTCTGTCAAATGCACGGCAACATGTGATTTTTATGAAATCGTTCTTTCGAAAAGGTCTTACTCGAATATTTCATAACGGTGACAACGCATGGTAGTAATTTACTTAGTTGTCTAACATGTTAGTACCTTTAACCTAAAATGAACTAGAGTCTAAATGAGTTGCTTTATTTCAGTACATATATGTAGCGTGCACACTAAAGTTATACGGTGACAAGGCCACCTACAATCGATGTGTCTATTTCGTTCCGGAGCAAAACCTTCCAATATATAGAACGTTCTATAGTATACTACTGTACCGGGTATGAGTCATTAGGGAATGCCAGAGTCACTCGAGTGTCAATAGCCACTCCGTTAATAATTATATTCGGTGCTTAAATCGTTATATTCGGTGGTAAGGTCTTTATGTGCAGTAGTTAAACCGGGTATAATTAGAATCTACCGAATCTAACGACATATAACTACTGCATGTAAAAACATAACCAACGAATATAAAAAAACCTAAGCACCGAACAATTATCAATTATCTCCAAGTACAGCTCTGGCGTTCTGTATGTCATTCTCAACCGTGTTATTTGCTCGGATCGTTTTTTTGTGTGTGATAAGTATAGGGTTTCTGCCTACATTATTGTAGAAACAGGCCAAGGTAACCGTATTGTAACACATCACAGGGACTCGAGAATTTGTTACATGTTCGGACCTCTCCTTATGTGTGGATAGTAGTATTAGACGTTTTAAGGGCTTGGATCAACACTCGGTAACCCCGATGCCCTATCCCCTCCATGATACCCTATTCATACCGAGAGTTGACCCAATCCCCTGAAACGTCCAATATTTCCACACATCAGGATAGGTCCACAAATTCCAACAGTAACCAATTCTCTGGTGCCTGTGTAAGACATTCTAGTCTACAGAACACTATAGGTTTGTCATAGCGAAACCACAGTAAAAGCGGTGTTTTTCTTCCTTTTGCCTTTGTCTTTGGACACTTTAAGACCAATTGAAGTTGATTCGTCAAACACATTGCGATACTTGAGACCATTCAAATGTTCTTGGTCGTTTATTTCTTTTATTTACCTTTCCACTACAATATTTTCTTTTATCCTCGTCTCCCATAACACATCTGCCGTTACCTTTCATTGATCGAGTTAGCGTGTTCGTTGGCAATTAAAACCTTCAATAGTACAATGCCCTATTTTTTTATATTGTCAATAAAATACCTTTCACAAGGCTACCCATGCTCTCTGATGGATCTGATTACAATGCTGTCGACGCGCGTATTATGATCAGCTATACTACCGATGGAGTATCATATCACTCCCCGAATAGGTTACCAAGACCGAATTAAAGTGTGTAATCAATGTGTTGGGGGCCTTTGGGCGTATAGACCCAAAAGTGGTATATGACACCCCCTACCATCCTACAGCCATCATACAGATATACCTTCAATTTCATAATTATATCATATGGCCCTGACAACGTATTTGATCTTTGAACCCAATGGGACCATGACCTAGCTTTGGCGTACGTACCCAATTGTGGTAGACGACACACCGCCTGCCTTGTCATCCTACGTTGAGCCCTACGTTGAGCCCTAAAACTTAACTGATTTATGGTCAATGAGTCAGAGGTTATTGATTGGAGTATGAATTTGACCTTTGACCTCAATGTGACATTGACCTTGGATGTACGACCCCAATAGTAATTTGCAGTACACTGATTTGCATCCCTACACATATGCCTTAAAATTTCATCCAGCTAACTTCAATGAGACAAAATGTATGGCCATGATGTTGAGGTTGACCTTTGACTTCAATATGACCATGACCCTATTAGGTGTACGGGCCTTAGAGTTGCACGTGACACACCGCCTTGCAATCAGGCAAACATAAATCCCTTAAAGTTCATTGAGATACAGTATGAACCCCCTGAGGCAAAATGTATGGCCTGGGCAACGAATTAGCCTATTGTGGTGTATGGACCCTAGAATGGCACGGTACACGACACACAGCCTTACCATCCTACAAATATCCTTAACATTTTATTTATATATCGTCAGAGAGTCAGAGTTATGGCCCGGACAATAATTTGGCCTTGGTAGTGAGTGAGCCTACAAAATATCGTTTTTCTTTTGTAAAGGGGAAAAATCATAATAAGTTTTGCCTCCCTTCAGATGTCATGATATAAAAAGACAGTATTAATAATGGCAGGCATAAGCTAGGAGGAGTAAAGGGATGGAAGCCCTATTCCCATCGGTGTCAGGTCTGTTCGGGACTTTTGTCGGGTCGTTTCGGGACCTTTTTCGGGTCGTTTCGGCATATGTCAAAAGTCGTTTCGGGATTTTTCATTTTTTTTAATCTCCTGTAGATACCATTTTCTTTTTTCTTTAAATATTGGTAGATATCCCCTCAAGCACTAGCGATCTGTTAACACTATAATTATCCCAAGCACGGGTAGGTCGTGATACAGGTCATAGACTAAAACCATACTTGTGTATTTGCATGACCTTTTTATGAAACGGGAGCGAAATGTTATTTATAAGAAAATTGCTTATGTCCCGAAACGACTTGATTAAGTCCCGAAACGACTTGTTACCGAAACGACTAGCATTCCCCCATCGAACAGGAACCCCTTAAAAATTGCTACGTGCTACCATAAATTATGTTTATTAGAGAGTCATCTCCCTTGTAACGCGTGAGAAAGCGAGATTTCAGCGGCCTTTCGCCACGTCCATTATTATCCCGACACCGGCGAACAGGTAATTGTAACAGTTGAGCAGTTCTTAATGTTATTAAGTTTTTATTTGCATTTATTAAACTACTTGACTCAAAACAGGTATTACAGTATGGTCGGCCATTGCCTTTCATGTAATGTCGATGTTCTGCTCTGCAGAGGAAGTGTAAGGAATCCCCCGAGATAAGTCGGATCTGTCAGTGTCAGGAACTAAATTATCTTGATTACTTACTTACTTAGGCTGAGTACACATCTTATATAGATGTGTTGTATGTGTGAGGGTTTGTGTGACATGTAGGCATGTGGGTATGCAAGTATGTATAAGCTTGAGTAGATGTTTACATATTTAATTATTATACATTACCCGAAGTAATCATTCTACTCTCTGAATGTAATACTACCATCAATGGTTCCATGTTAAAATCTATTTCTCTTTATATAAATAGGCCACATTACTATCCAAGATATCTAATATGTTTTACGGTACGACCGTTAGTGAGGGCGGAGCCAGGTTTTACTGTAAATGTATCGGAATATCGGTACTGTACTCTTTCAAGCATTAAGTGATGTGTTAAATTACTAAATCAGACCTACATGTATAGTTATACAGTGTATATTACAGTTAATTTTCCTTTCTTGATTTCTTTTTGACTGACAAGATGTTTGATATCTTGAAGTTTTCCGCTTAGGCGTATGATGACATGACATTAATGTGAGAATGTGAAAGGTTCATTAGACATATCTGATATCCACGAAAAGATATACATATATATGTATGTATTATGCAAACTCGCCTATTATACACCAATAGGGGTATGGATTTGTTACTAAAAATAGCCAAAATCACTTTAATCTTAAATTTTTCACATTGTTTGTCCAAGTCGCATTTATTCAGTCATGACACATAATATAAATGCAAAAATAAACTTTATTAGCATGTGGGAAAGTATCAAAAAAAGATGCAATTCTTCCGATAAAGTTACATCAAGTTTATAAGTAGCCAACGCTTTCAGTAAACATCTTTTAGCAAAATAATATTTACCTTGTCGTAAATTAATGCAATTTTTAATAATATCTTGTAAAGGTTACTGTTAAAGTGATTTGGGTAATTTTTAGTAACAAATCCATACTCTGAGTGACGTATAATAGGCGAGTTTGCGTGTATACGCAAGTTAGTGGTTTTCCCCAACCTGATATAGGCTTGCCTGTTGTCCAAACCATTTGTTTTCTAATAAAACAATAAAATTGTTGAAATGAAAAACGAAATTACCGAGTTCTGATGTAAAACGTGGAAGTACAATAAATATTTATTTACACCAAGTAGACAATAAAACCATAGTGTCAGTGTTTTCAGCTATTTTGTTTTTTTCCATGCATTGCATATTTCAGTGTGTATGTGTCGGGCGGGGGGGGGGGGCTGTTTAAAAGAGTAGATATGTTGTAATATGATATGAAGTAGTCTTCTTTACGGTAGGAATAGAACCTCATAGTTTTACATATGCGCAGGTGCACATGACCTAATAATTCCCTTGGAGTTAGGGGTATGTGTATGTACACAGAATTGCACTTCCTTATAGCACATTAAGAACGCACCAGATTAATATTTTATTTTACGTTATGTGTGTCAGCTGTCACACTTAAATTTATCCATATCTTAAAAGTGAAGTTTGGGTGTTGTTTCACTTACTGCAGCTTCAACCATTCACGTTCAGATGAGCGAAAGTGAAATTAGGGTGTTGCTTTTCTGGCTGCAGCTTCAAGCATTTACATCTAGCTGCTATGCAATTCATCATTTTTATCAGGGTTGCCAACCTCTTAGGAGTCCAGTGTGGGAGATCTGTCAAATTTGACGAAAGTATTATGGTATGGGGTTGTCCGTCCGTCCGTCCGTCCTAAACTTTTGTTTGTCCGGCAATCTCCTCCTACATTTTTCGACCGATCTCTGAAACTTGGTATACACTATAATCATGATACGAAGTTGTGTCTCCCTTAAAAGAATTTTGATTCAACAATTTTTCCAAAAGTTATTGCCCTTTGTTCATTTCAGTATTTGATTTTTTGTCCAGAGATTTTGTCCTACATTTTTTATAGCACATCAGCTTACCACTCTTAGAATGATGCAGATCTTATTTCAATGTAAGAAAGTATATAACACTATATGGCATTCAACAGGCGTATATTGTTCCGCCCCGCGGTACTCTTTGTTACAATAAGTGATAAAATTGAAACAGTGAGCAATATCATTCTATAGAATTCCTTATAATATTGTATTTCTGTTTCAGATCAAGCATATGACCATGTCGGACCAACCATGTTATACCCTGATAAATCTCCCGTCGGATGCAGAGCCACCAACAGAAATGCAGCTCCGCACAGACTTAGGTAAAATGATGATTTGTTTTTAAGTTGATCATAATAAAAACATATGTATGTACAGCCTAGTACTACAGGCTTCCTCCAGCTAAAAAGTGCAGACCCTGACAACTACAGTGTTAGCACCAACCTTGTTTTTGTATAAAAAGAAGCCGATTAAAGCATACCCCAATTTTTAAACAGCTTTATTACATATTCCAATGTATGAACAAATTAATTACATACTTGGAGACCCTGCTTTTGAAAACAATCGCAGACTTCACAGTTCAATAAAGAACCACTCGATTGAATGATGTATATTTGAATTGTACAGGTCTTCACCCACTTTCAAGCAGCTGTATGTTATTGTAAGTGGTAACTAATGTGGGGTTCCCTGAAACTTGGAGGATTTTCTTCTGTGTTTTCTGATTGGGGGTCACCAAAGAAACCAAAATTGATCTGCTGCCCCCATTATTACACTCGGAATCAATATCTTTTCTCACTTTTCCGTTCTTTATTTTGGTGGTATCATTCTATCAAATGATTTTCATATGACATCAGCTGTTGCAAGGACATAACCCCCCCCCTAAAAAAATCAATTAAAAAAACTTTTAGATATTTTCATTCCTAAAACAGCCCACTACAACAGTACAGGAAAAAAGCAGCAAAGAAATTTGTTGGACATCTTGGGGTGCATTTTGGATCAAGAAAACATTTCTATTACTGCATAACATTTTTGCTCATTCTGATTAAAATAATCTGTTGGGCTCCGTTACCTTTGTACTAGGCGGAGCCATGTAACAGATGATTTTAATCAGATTGCTCAATTTTAAAATGTATATTGATGGTCTGTTACAAATTATTGGATGTCTGTGTTTTCAGAAAAGGGAGACACACGAACCAAAACTGATGCCCTGAAGAAGACCATTCAGATGATACTGAATGGGGAGAAGATGCCCACCTTGTTGATGACCATCATCAGGTTTGTGATGCCTTCCCAGGATCACATGATCAAGAAGTTACTTCTCATCTTCTGGGAGGTTGTACCCAAGTATACAGCAGACGGCAAGATGTTGCACGAGATGATTCTTGTTTGTGATGCTTATAGGAAGGTGAGAACAGTTACACATCTTTACCTTGACACTTCAAGAAAAGAATGGCTCCCACATCTCTTAATTGAAGTTCCAAATAATGGAAAATAATAGGTTAAGATATTTTTATTTTGCAGCAGCCGTATGATGTTAACAAGTTCTGTCCCTTCCCAATTCAGTGTCATCGCTTATTCAACTTCATTTCTTGAACAGATATCATCAAAATGTATGCAAGGTTAGGTATAGGGTTACCTTGGATAAGTTCATATTTCAGTGTTCTAGGGGTCAAGGTCACTTGCTATTTATAGAAAATCATCAACCAAATCGGTGTCATTGGACTTCTTTTCTCTGGTAACTTCATTTTGGTAAAACATAACACTTTGAAGGAATTGAATTTCAAAGTACGTTTATTTATACCAAGGTCAAGGTTAAGGCCACTAGTAGAATTCGTATAATTTCTTTTCAATATGTAAGTTGTGGCTTTTTTTTTGTGAAACTTTTTGCAAGGGTCAAGTAGAAGAATAAAACCAACGGAGTATGAGTTGGTGTTTCAGGGATACTGAAGCTGACAAGGTCATTTTTACACTTAATAGAACGTTTTTGTCGTAACTCTTGCTGCAACTTCATTCCTTACAGGCTTTAATTGATGTTCATTGAATAAATATTTTAACAAGTAAAACACTTTCAGGGTGTCATAGTCAAGTCACCTTTACTCTATATAATAGTAAAACATTATATTTATTTTGCCAAATACCTTGATAGTGATTTACACAGAAGTTGTTTATTTCTGTTGATAGGATCTGCAGCACCCCAATGAGTTTATCCGTGGCTCCACGCTGCGTTTCCTGTGTAAACTGAAGGAACCAGAGCTGGTGGAGCCATTGATGCCAGCGATCAGACAGTGTCTGGAACATCGTCACTCATATGTCCGCAGAAATGCAGTCCTGGCCATCTACACCATCTTCAGGTATGTAGGCCTGCTCTTGATTTAGTCTGCATATAGAAAATGTTTGTTTTGTTGTTATATTATCACTTTCTAAATGGCTAATCGGAAAATCAATAGTGTGTTGTCAAATTAAGTGACGATTTCTGCCAGTGCTGCTGTGCTATTTAATGAAATATATTTTTGTTACAGGAATTTTGATTTCCTCATACCCGACGCCCCAGAGCTGATCGCCAAGTTCTTAGAAACTGAGCAAGACATGTCATGTAAAAGAAACGCTTTCATGATGCTGATTCATGCTGATCAGGTTTGTGGCAAAGACCTAACATCGTCAATTTAAAAAAAAAAAATCATTTCAATGCTTGAAATCCTGTTGTACTAACTCTAAAATATAGAAAAAAGGCCTGTAAATGAAAAAATAAAAATAAAAATTCCATTTTGAGAAGTTGGGTTAAAATTTTTCTATGCTTCCTTTTTTCTTTAACATTCTTACTCTTTACCAAAATAAATGGCCTCAGTTAAACCTCTTTGCTGTATAGAGAGGTTATTAATCTGAACAGCAATTATTACTACACAGCATATGATAGTATGTCAATTCTAGAGGTCAGGATTTACAACGGACTAAATTTGGATTTTATTGTAGAAGAGCAAATATATAAAGGGGTGCTGATTTCCCAGCTTACGGCTTTATACAACTTGTCAAATTCCTGTTTGTCGTTTAATATATGTTATGCAGTGAGAGAAAGCAAAATCAAATCTTATAATGTGTAGCCTCATGGTTATTTTTTTCTGTTTTTATGAATTTTTAATGAATTTATTACAAAATAAAAAATAAAAAAATTAGCTATAACTGTCATATTTTTTATCATTATCACACTTTAGCCGGGAGTTATTGCTAATTTTTGCTCAATATTGGTGTTACAAAAATTCCATAGAACCCTTGTTGCATGTTGCTGTAATGTGGTTTTGTGTGACAGTAGAGGATTATAATGTATTTCGTGGAATTGTTTGTTTCAGGAGCGAGCGCTGAACTACCTGAGTAGCTGTATTGATCAGGTGACGTCCTTCGGAGACATCCTCCAGCTTGTCATCGTCGAGTTGATCTACAAGGTATGTATAACCAGTGTTCATGTTGACACTTTTCTCCATATAACACTGATGCAAAAAAAACAAAAGACAGTGGTTTCCAGATATTTGAAGGATATCACTTTTTACCTCGGTGTTTGAAATTTGAATTCATATCATTGTTTGCTAGCAAGCCAACAGTTTAAGAGGCATTATGCGGTGCAGTCAAAAAGTTAGACATACAGGGAAAAAATGTCCTCTTATAGACGTCATAGTTCATATTATAAATCAAATTCAAGTTTTGTCTGCATGTCACATGATTCTGTTGGAAATGGAATTAGAATTGGTTCTCCTACAGAGTTTCTCCCATTCCTCCCCTCCCCCTCGACAACTAAATTAATATTTGTTGGGGCGTTGCAAACACATTCAAATTTCATTGGCCTCAAAGAAATTTTAAGGCTTATCACATTTGACAGTAGTCGTCGGCTGTTTCAGATTAGAGAAAGAAATGAAATTGAAACTTAATATTTACAAACGTAGAATAATTTTATATACTAGGTGTGTTTATTCTCAAGATATTGAAACTGCTCGTGTATCGTGTCAAAAATTTATCCAGGATTTACATAGACGTTACAACAATTTTTTCAAGTATTTGGCAATAGTCCTTGCATTAAGCTCATTGGTGCATTTCTTTTCCCCTGTTGGCAATGAATTGCTATGTTGACTTACTTTCCATCCTGTTTTTAAACTGTTCTGTTTTTGCACACATCAGGTTTGCCATGCCAATCCGTCGGAGAGGGCACGTTTCATCCGCTGTATCTACAATTTGTTGAACTCCTCCAGTCCGGCCGTCCGCTACGAGGCCGCAGGTACACTGGTCACACTATCCAATGCTCCAACAGCAATCAAGGTAGGATATGAACAAAAGTGACGCCTTTGTCTCGCCTCCGCGACATCCATTGCAGGGGAGACAAAAAAGAGTATTCAAGTTGCTATAAAAGTCTATTTTGTTCACAATAATGTTGAACTATTGTGGGATGTTTGTAACAAATTAAATCATGCTTACCAAAGTTATTTTTTTGCAAAACATTTGACCCCTGATTGTGTTAAAGATCCCTGTTCCACTGCAGGCAACGCAAAAGAAAACTTCACTGTGGTTATTCGTATATACAGAAGCCTGCCCTCAATTTCATTTTAAATATAACAGAAGAGAGTGTTAGAGACTGGGCCAGGATGTTTCAGTTGACTAGGTAGCTAAGTTGGCCAGAGTGACAGTTAATTGATCTGAGGTTGAACTTTCGAAGCCTGGTTATGCCTCATGGTATTTTTACACTCAGTACACTTGTAGAATTATTTTGTCTTTATAATTTTTTTTCCATTAGGGTTCCTCGGGTGATAGATTTCTTTTTCTGAAATGATTTATCAAAACAATACTCACATCAGGAAAAAAACCCGATTACCAATTGATAGTTACAGGTTATGGCAGCGATACATGAATCCTGAGACATAATAGTCTAGTGGTAGGATGCCGGGCTCATGACCGGAGGGTTGCGGGTTCGAGTCACGGCACAGCTCTTGTGTTGTATTGTAGAATGCTAGCTGTGAGCGCAGGCTGTATGCTCCCCAGGGAGATGAGAAAGATATTGGCTGGTTGCAAAGACCCTATAACCATGGATAATAATTTGTGAACTGTTTTGAGACGACCTACGAACTAGGTTGTGATAAAGCGGTATATAAAAGAACCTCAAATTCCTTAAAGACTTGTGAAAAAGACTTTTTGTGTCACTGATCATGGAAATATTTGTTACCTTGTTAAACTTCATAAAGGTGTCAAAGTGTTCGTAAGATAAGTCTGTAAACCTTTATTATCCGTTCGCAACAAAAGTTTGAGGGGATATAGAAATCCGCCCGTACATATGTTACACTCTTTGTCATCGCTCTAGCCACTTCATTTCTCAACAGATTTTATGAAACTCCATACAAGTATTTGGTATGACAATTACTTGAACAGGTTCGCATTTCGGGTTTCTACGTTGCAGGTCAAGGTCACTGTTACTAATTTTAGAAAAACCATTGTCATCGCTCTAGCCACTTCATTTCCTCTTACATATATGTCACAATGTGTGATTGCGAGGGGATTTGTATCACTTGTAATGCCTTGTTTTTCTTGTTTCTCCAACAGGCTGCTGCTAGCTGTTACATTGAATTAATCGTGAAGGAAAGCGATAATAACGTCAAATTGATCGTGCTTGATCGACTCATTGCTCTGAAGGAAGTTCCTTTACACGAAAAAGTTTTGCAGGTAAAATTTGTTTGTCATTATTATTACATGTTTATATGCCTGTATGACATTTGATTCATGATTCCTTCAACCCCAAAATAACAAATTTGATTCTTTTTTCCTCAATATGGTAAATAAAATAGCTTTACTTTATTAGAACTTTCAGACTACAAATCTGAGTACATTAGATTTTCTCTATCATGTGACATTCAGTCCTTTAATGGAAGCCATTTGTTGTATTTTACAAATCATTGTTTAACTACATCTCCTCCCCCTCCTCCCCCTCCCGCAATGTGTGATCCTAGTTTGTTTTAACCCATTCACCCCTGAAAGTTCATAATGAACTATTCCAACCTTTGAACTGGAAGAGTTCAAATGTGTCTTCAGGGGTGAATGAGTAGTCATGTATCTTTGCTGTGGTACTTTGCAGGATCTAGTGATGGACATACTACGAGTGCTCAGTTCACCAGACCATGAGGTCAGGAAGAAAACCTTGTCGTTAGCCCTGGAACTGGTGACATCGAGGAATATGGAGGAGGTTTGTATAAATGAAATGCCGAGAATTGAAATACAACAGTTCATGGAACTAGACCTCTTCAGTACAAATCAACAGTTATTACAATGAAATACTTGTAGGTTTCAATATAGTTTTGTACTTTAAATTTCCATATCTGATTGCTTTGTAATTTAGATTTCATAATTTGGGTTTGCTGTACATTAATAAGGGGAAATTGACCCTGTAGGTCAAATCTGATAATATGTGCAGGTCATTTCTATTCTGATTTTGATATTATCTCGGATCTGAAATTTCGTAAGATCATCATCAAACTATGGCTGATATGATGTCCTGTCAGTTTATTGTGAGGTGCATGAAATTTCTATTTACATCACAGCAAAATAAGGACCTATGTTAACTTTTCGTACAGATGGTACTAGTACTGAAGAAGGAAGTTGTGAAGACCAACAACGTTGAACACGAGGATACCGGAAAATACCGCCAGCTGCTCGTCCGGACTCTCCATCAGTGCTGCATCAAGTTCCCCGACATTGCAGGCACAATCATACCCGTGGTAGGTTGTCATTCTCCTCCTGTACCAGATGGCTTTTGTCGGTGAATAACTTATGGTGAAAATTGCTGTTCTATGTATGTCCATGTCAGTTTTATGTCTGGAAGTGAGGTACATGTGTGTATGTCTAGTCGGTGAAAGTTGCTGTTCTATGTATGTCCATGTCAGTTTTATGTCTGGAAGTGAGGTACATGTGTGTATGTCTAGTCGGTGAAAGTTGCTGTTCTATGTATGTCCATGTCAGTTTTATGTCTGGAAGTGAGGTACATGTGTGTATGTCTAGTCGGTGAAAGTTGCTGTTCTATGTATGTCCATGTCAGTTTTATGTCTGGAAGTGAGGTACATGTGTGTATGTCTAGTCGGTGAAAGTTGCTGTTCTATGTATGTCCATGTCAGTTTTATGTCTTGAAGTGAGGTACATGTGTGTATGTCTACAATCTTCATATAAATTACTTTGAATAAGTGATGGGCAATCAGTTTAAAATCATAATCGACAATCGGTTTGTAATCAGAAGTAGTAAACCAATTGATGATAGATTGCGTAATCTGTTGGTAATTTTAAAGAGACTGAATGCCGTACCATAATAAAGTGAGAACACTACTGTTATATCAATAGACAGAGCTGTAAACTATACACTACCATAATATCAATAGACAGAGTTGTTAACTATACACTACCATAACATCAATAGACAGAGCTGTTAACTATACATTAGGTTACGTTCTTTTATAATGAATTGATTTCTAGCAACTTTTATGCAGTTTTATCAATCATATAGTAAAATTCATAAGAATTAATGACTTTCAACGCATACTTGACATTGTAGGTACATTTGACACTCTGACTTCAATAAAGTACCGATTACATCGATAATGGAATTTGCAATCGATAATCAGAATCGGAAAGAGCAAAACGAAAGATTTTTGGTTATAATCAATTATCAGCCCATCACTACTTTGAATCATTTAAAAAAAAATATATAAGATCTGGCAGTAATGATTAAAATTTTAATTTTTCACCTCGACATCAACTTCTTATTTTTCCTCATGTTTGGTTTTGACAGCTGATCGAGTTTCTGGGCGATCAGAATGAGTTGGCCGCCCTGGATGTGCTGGTGTTTGTCAGAGAAGCTATTCAAAGATTTGAGGAACTGAGATCACTTATTGTCGCCAAACTTCTGGAGATTTTCCCCTCCATTAAGTCCATCAAGTAAGTTTTGTAACCTTAAGCTATTAACCCTTAGGCTGCTACGCACGGCATATGCCGTTTTGAAAAGCCGGGCCGTCAGTGCTACGCACGGCATATGTCGTTTCTCGGTCTGAAGTTTTTGATCGGTAGCCAGGAAGTGTGAAGTCGGGTTGTTGCTATACCAAACCCGAACGTGTATAGTAGAAGGCTTCTGATTGGTTGTTTTGTCATTACTTTCGATATTCACGGCAGTGTACACTAGTAATAACCAAAGGGGTGCGAGAGAATTTCAAATCGAAAAAAACATCATAAAAATGGCGGACGTGTAGATCGAAGCGATGAATATGATGGTAAACATTTATTCTCCATCGTCACCTACGATGATAATAAAGGTTTTGAAGGGTTTGACCTGGTTGATGTGGAAACACTTCGGTGTAACATAATATGTTACTTTCCAATAAACGGCTTTGTGCCCTACGCAAACAGGAAAATATCGGCGGACCGAGGCGCACATGTCGTCTGCAGGTGAGGCCGAATTGAACATTGACATTGATACGTTTTGAGCCGATTTATTTCTTCAAACTTTTTATCGGTGATTTAATCATAAACTAGACCGTAGCTAAGATATATCTATATGCCGACTATGACAGTAAATGTATTGAATAGCGACTTGAAACCTGTAGGAAACCACATGCAGTTCTTTACGAAATACCTGACCTTTTTACCTGAGAATCTCCGTGTAAATATACAGCGTCTTATGTCAAAAATGAAGTTTATAATCTCTGTTATCATTTGCCAATCCCATTTGCGGACAAAATAATTTTAAAATGATCTTTCTCTTGCTTAAATCCCATTAATTAAAAGTTTCACATTTTCTTACCTTTATTACCACCTGTACAGGTAAATACTGAAGCAACTTTAGAATTGAAAACGTCAGTATAAGCAAGAGACAACAACGAACAATTTTCATACAACTTTTTTTCACATATAACAAATATTTTCCAAGTTATGCACATTTGAAAAATCAAGTTAATTAATCTTAATTTCAATAATTAATTCAGCAGTGGTGTCCCATTACATAGAAATCAATGTAGCAGCCTAAGGGTTAAAAGGAGCTCTCCCAAAAAAAAAAAATCGCAAATTTGTTTTGTAACATGCATAAGAACACAGCTACTAAGGAGAGTAATGTTCTATTTTCCTCGTTCCTTTGTACACAGAAACGATATAAACCAGGCCTTGTTGTCTTTTCTTTTTGTGCAAAATATCGAGAATGTGAAAAGTTTTTAACATTTTATGTGTGTAGTTGAAATGTTTATGTTGACAAAAGTCATTTTTACATCTGATCAGGCCAAGGTAGAAAGTTTTGAGGGAGTAATTGGATATTGAATAATGATTGGAATAAATTAGTTGTCATTTCGTATTTGTTATATTTATTGTGCAGTAGAGAAATTATTTTTAAAATATTAAAAACCAATAAAATTAAACATGAAACATCTTTTAAAACAAGGAAGACAGTTAATATATAGACATGAAATATCAGAAATATGCTGGATTAGGGATTCAGAAGTTCCAATCGTAAATGACCTATACATGTTTTGTATGTTTACAAGGGTGCATCGGGCAGCCTTGTGGATTCTCGGAGAGTACTGTACCATAAACGAGGACATACAGAGCGTTATGAATCTTATCCGCCAGTCCATCGGAGAGGTCAGTACCTTACCATGTTTGCATTGAGTCATTGATGTGTTTCCCTTATGAAACATTTCATGTGTTCAGATAGTAACAGTTAGAGAAGTTGCTAGCATTTTTCTGACCAATTTTAACTGTGCCTCATGTCGATGCGTTTCACATCATCCATACATACCTGGTCTTTCCAGATACCTATTGTCGATGACGAGATCAAGAAAGCTGCAGGAGAAGTGAAGGACGATGGTAAGTTTCCACCATCAATTGGTCAAGTGTCTGTGTCTTCGTCATTCTAGTCATTGAATCCTATTCAGTACCTTAACCTTTCACCACTGTAAAAACTAATGGACTCATCCAGATGAATGTATGGTAGAGTCTACGCAAGTTACCTAGGGGTGAAAGGGTTAAAAGGAATTAGTGTAGACCGGGAAATTTACGTTGCAGTTTAATATTCGCCTTTTTAGTCGTAAGGAGGGCAAACGTATCATTACAGTGAACATTTGTAAATAACATACCGTAATATACATAGAAATTAAATGTGAAGGGCAAATTTAATACCGGTAAAAATGGATTTTACTGTTGAAGGGCAAAATGTTGACTGGGCAAATATTTCCTGGTATACAGTACTTACTGGTTTGGGCAAATTAGTGTTTTACAAATAAGAAGACAACTTGAACAGGGGCTAAAAATATTTCGTATGATATGAAGGTTTAATTTAAGCAAGGAAAATACTAGGATTTACAATCATTTAGAAACAGGGATGTAAAAATCATGTGCCTGTTCTTCCAACAGAGATGCAGGGAGCAGGAGGTGCCCAGAAATTGGTCACAGCAGATGGAACTTACGCAACGCAGAGTGCATTTAGCACAGTCACAGTTTCTAAGAAGGAGGACAGGTAAGGTTACCTAAACTGACACCTGACTTCAAGGACATCCTGTAGTATCATACACAGTTTTCTGGCTGTAAAAAACATGTTTCTTCATGTGTTATCCTTTATTTTACTGACATTGTAAAATCCGACCAAATGATCGGGTCCTTTCTGGCACACTGTCTTATCTGACCAAATGATTCTGTCCCTATAGATGTGGGTATTAAAAGATAAGGTTCACTTTTTACAAAACGATGCTAAAAGATTTGTTTCATTAAAAAGTAGATAATTGAATGGCCATTTCTTCAGATGTAATCAGTTAAATAACTTTTACATTTCCATGTATCACTGTTACAGAACATCTTGCTGAAAAGTTCAAACAATATAGGGGTGGGGAGGGGGGGGGGAATTAATGGATTAGTGGGGGAAAAATGGATCAGAAATCTGTTAATTGAGGTTCAGCCTTTATAATCATTTCTTTACAGACCGCCTTTGAGACAGTACATGATGGATGGTGACTTCTTTGTCGGAGCGGCGCTAGCCACCACCCTCACTAAACTGGCGCTTAGATACATCATCAACACGGATAACGTCAAGCGCCAAAACGTAACTAGTCCTTCCTTTTCACATTCTCTTCTCTGGGTATTAAACTTTTCTATTTGTACGAAACCTGCCAGATTGTTTTTAGCTCTGCTTGAGTTAAAAGAATCTTGAGGATTTAAGAATAATAATCCTATATTGCATATTTTAATTAAATTTTTAAGAGTTATACATATTGTATCCATGTTCACATTTTGGCTTGACCTTCTGAAATAAGCCCCAAAATCCACAATGAATTTAGTTTCTCTTAACAAAACGTGATTTAAGGAGAATGTTTTGTGTGTATAATGATCATAACTGTTGAGACTTGAACTAACACTGGCTGTTTTATGTGTAATTCCTATTAACCATGTGATCCCTATTGTAACCTTTCTGTTGCAGGCTTTCGTGGCAGAATCTATGCTGGTCATGGCATCAATTATTCATTTTGGAAAATCTGGACTTCCTACAAAGGTAAGAGCAAGTTATTTTAACTAGTTCAGAGAAAAAAACAATTCCACATCTTACTAAAATTAAACAATGAGAAGTATTTTTATGAAGATGGAAAATTTGTATGCAAGTTCAATTTCACTGACAAAAATCGAGGCTCCTTGGTCTTGCAAAATTACAAGAAGACAATATACTGTAAAAATTGAATTTCTCTTTGTCGAAATATTCACGTTTTTCGCGTTGAATAATTTGTTAATGTTAAAATATCCACCTGTGAATATCTGTTCAAATAGATATAAATAGAACACGCCGATTTCAGAACTATTGTCAACCTTAAAATGTTTACTCTGCAATCTGTTTAAAGAGTCGCAATACGAACATTTCCAAACACAGAAGTTTCCACTTTCACGTTTAATATGTTGTCAATGGAAAGTGCTTTTGTCTCTTAGCCCATCACTGACGACGACTTCGACCGTATCGCAACCTGTCTGAGGGTGTTGGCCGAGAGGAGTCCCATCATGGAGGAAATCTTCAATAGGGATTGCCGCGAGTCACTGTCTCTTATGTTGGCAGCTAAGATAGACGAGGAGAAAGAAATGCAGAAAGTAATGCATTCATGGTCTTTACAAAACAATTCATGTTCTTTGTCCTAAGATGTTTTTCAAGTCTAACAGAAAAAATCCAGGCTCCAGTTTGTTTTCTTAGTATATGTCAGTCAAACTTGAATGTAGCAGATGGTGGAACGTAGTTTATTTTAAATCTGTACCTCAAATTTTATACAGTACAACGAAAACATGGAAAATGTAAATGGGAATATAGCATCGGACATTTTTGAAATATTTTTTATGTGTCGTTAGATATGTTGAGTCTGGAGCTAGCATTGAAGATAAGATTAAAATGAAAACATTTATTATGGGCTAAATCATGTCAGACAGAGATGTTGGATTAGCAATCAAGTCAGATGAATATTGAAATTGGCATTAAATGCAGCCTTCGAAAGTCAATAAAATCGGACGTTTATCATTTACGCTACAGGTGTCGGAACGTCGATTGGTGAAGGTCCAGGCAGACGATCCTATAGCTTTCTCACAGCTCATCAACAAAGGAGAACTTGGTGCTACAGAGGTATGCAAGGAAACAAAATCAAACACATCTATTACGTGTAGGATCTTCAAATACCCTATTTTCTTGACAGTAAATCAATCTTTATCTGACTGACTGTGTTACGGAATTAATACCATGTTGGTTTGAGTGATTTTACATCTGCTTCACTGATTTTCAAATCACCCTATTTTCTTGACAGTAAATTAATCTTTTATCTAACTGACAGTGTCATGGAACTAAAACACTGTTCATTAGAGTGATTTTACACCTGCTTCACTAGTTGTTTGGTTATCTAACAGACAATTAAAACACTTTTAAATCATTCACCCCTGAAGACACATTTAAACTTCTCCAATTCAAAGGTTGGAATAGTACATTATGAAATTTCAGGGGTGAATGAGTTAATACCCTTTTAAACGATATAATATTCTATAGATGTTTAACTTATTTTTACCCGTTCTGTCGATGTAGAACATGTTCGAGTTGACACTCTCCCAGGCCCTGGGTATGAACACCAAGAAAGATGCTGACTCTGCCGGCTCCTCCAAACTCAACAAGGTAAGTGATGACAACCAACTGTTAGCCTTAATTTCCTGTCACAAAAAGCTTTTTGATGTTAAGTCTATGCTCTTTATAGATTTCATGAATCTGAGGATTTTTTTTCACTTACGTTTCCTATTTCGGCATGCATTGCTGAATTTAATGAAAATTTCCTTAACTGCAGATTTCCTTAACTGGAGCAATGTCAATATTTTCAGATATTTTCTTATCTTCAGTAGTGCTTTCCAGCAGAAAAAGTCAGTGAAATATTTTTAGTCAAAAGGTTGAACGGAAATAATTAAACAAATCAGTTAATGACATTGGTGAACCTGGAACTTAAGGACCTGAGTTGTAGATTTCTTGTTTGTACAAACAAAAATTGTTTGAAGAATAACTATACAGTATAACACATTTGCGCATTAAATGTTTAATATTCCACCAGGTGACGCAGCTCACAGGATTTTCTGACCCGGTATATGCTGAAGCTTATGTTAATGTGAACCAGTTTGACATTGTACTGGACGTACTGGTGGTCAATCAGACCGGGGACACGCTACAGAACCTCACTCTGGAACTGGCCACTCTGGGTATTTACCGGTCACTACTATACCCCTATTAATAATCTGCTGCGGTGCAGTAAGTTTGTGGTCAACTCAGAACTCCTTTAAGCTATGATGTGTTGCTATATCTATTTACATTATAATAGTGTCGTTGGTTTACTAGTACTAGTTAAAGATGCATTATTAAACCTAACATAAGCGTTAAGGTGCCTGGCCGTCTACGATCACTAGCCTCCCCCACTGGGTTACGGGGTCGATGCCTAAGTGAGGCAGCCGCCAAGTTCTGGCCACATGCTGGTGGTTTTCTTTAGGTACTCTGGATTTCCTTCACCAAAAAACCGCTGGATTGTCCTTTAATGATCATAGCTGTTGATAAGACGTAAAACACAAACAAACCAGTAAATAGTGCAGTGAACTTGAACTTTTGTTCTGATGTGAATTTTGTTGTAGAATTATTTTTAATTACATGGCTACAAGTTAAGTTACTTTTGCCCTGTTGAATAGTCAGATTTACAATACTTGTTTTCCTCAAAGGAGAGTTGAAGAGATATTTGTTTTATTTCAGGAATTCCTACGTATATAGATTCATTAGTGAAGAAGAATTTTACGAAAGTTGACGCTAGGAAATAAGCTTGTTTATTTTTTAGTCATTTGTAAACATTGATGTATTACAGGAGATTTGAAGCTTGTGGAGAAACCGTCGCCCCTGACCATGGCACCTCATGACTTCTGTAACATCAAGGCTAACGTCAAGGTGGCCTCCACGGAAAATGGAATCATCTTTGGAAATATCGGTAAATATGTTGACGAGTCCAGGGTCCGTATTCATGAAACTGTTCTCATGCTCAAAATCAGATTCTTTCCTCTAGCCCAATTTCTTGGTCAGGTGGTAAATAAAATTAAACTTGATATTTAGTCTATGATTTGGAAGAATTCTGGTGAGACTTCAAGCTGAATACTTTATCAGATGTTACATGTAACATTTTTTATCATTTCACATGATTTAAGCAAGTTACAAGAAAGTAGGGTTTAGCACGGAATTCATCCATGAGCATGAGAACAATTTCACGAATACAAGCCCTCATCCCTTTTATAGCATACATCTGCTGAATTTCGTTCAAGCAGACTTCTAGGGGCCACAGTGGCCAAGTGTTTAAGGCTACCATTAGCCGTCCACCAATGGGTCACATGTTCGAGACCTACGTGGGGTGTTTTTTCTCCAGGAACTCCGGCTTTCCTCCACCAAATAAAACCGGGCACTTCCTTGAATGACCATAGCTGTTAATAGGACGTAAAACACAAACAAACCAAATCAAGCAGACTTCATTATACCATTAAGGATGCCATATAAAGCAAAAAACTCTTAAGTAATGCTTAGCCAGAATACTACTTTTAATCAAGAAGCTTAACTTTTGGGTAGTAGGGGTTTATAGTGTTTCCCCTGTCAGTCCTGTCATAATTCATTGCAATGACTCTACCTCTTCATTTCTAACAGATTTTTATCAAAAGTTTATACAAAGGTCAATTATGAGAATTCCTTGGATGAGTTTAGTTAGTGTATCAGAGCCACTGTTGCTATTTATAGGTCGACTACAGGTCCAAGGGGTCTTACAGATGTTTCCTAGTTTTCTTTGCTTCCATCAAAGTATAAGAACTAAATTATTTCATTATCAGTTTTTCAACCTGTTAGAATAAGCTTTAATTTGAAATTTTCAGTTAGAAAAAGGGTTTTGATTTTAAATTGTCAAAATTATAATGATAAAAACAACAAAACCGTAAATAGGATTATTGACCATTTTAAAATGAATGTACGTCACACTGTGTTACGATAAAAAAAACAAGACCTGCTTACGATTTTTTTTTCTTTGGTATGGAGTGAAATTTTTAAATCATGAACTCGTATCTCGTTTCAACAGTTTACGATGTGACGGGAGCAGCCAGTGATCGTAACTGTGTCGTCCTCAACGACATTCATATCGACATCATGGACTACATTGTGCCAGCCATGTGTAATGATAGCGAGTTCCGCCAGATGTGGGCCGAGTTTGAGTGGGAGAACAAGGTGGCAGTCAATACAAATATTTCCAATCTGTCCGAGTTCCTGCATCACGTCATCCAGTGCACCAATATGAAATGTCTTACTCCAGAAAAGGTGAGTTCAGAAGAAATGACCAGATTCTTATATGTTACATTGAACTGAAAATATTAATTCATTAGGATTAAGGAACTTATTTACATTGGTGCTTTTATAGGTTTCCTGTAAACTGATTGTCTATGAAATTCCTGGAGAATATTTTCTTTATTTGTTAAAGATTTTGTTCTTGAACAAGATGTTCAAACAGCAGAAAAAAAATGAGTCTTTATCTCATTCACCCCTAAAGACACATTTGAACTCTTCCAATTCAAAGGTTGGAATAGTTCATTATGAAATTTCAGGGGTGAGTGAGTTGAACAAAATTATGTGAATTTCTGACCAGTAGTTGCGTTTCCCTTTCAATTGAAAGGAAGTTATTGTATAACTACAGGATCTTTGGTTACTCCTCTTCTCATAATGCCATGTGGTGGCAGAACCTTAAACTGTCAAATGATATTGATATGTCTCGATGAAATTGTTATTAAAGTATATCTGCATCACTCGTAAAAGGTAGAAATGATTTATGTCTTGCAGACATTTTCTAGCTTGGTTATATTTTGATATTCTCTGTATTTTTCTATTTCCGTGCAGGCATTATCTGGGGAGTGTGGGTTCATGGCGGCTAACTTATATGCCAAGTCGATCTTCGGAGAGGATGTGTTGGCTAACTTAAGTGTGGAGAAGCCGGCTCACCTGTCTAACGAGGCACCTGTACAGGGTCACATAAGGATTCGTGCCAAAAGTCAGGTAAGAAACTTGATTTAAAAAAACATTTTTGAATAACTCTCATTAATTTTTTCAGTGTTCAGAGCTTCCTTTAAAAAACAAAACAATATATCCCAGTTAAATATGGGGATAAAGAAAGATATTGAAGAAAATATGTAATATAATACCTAACAAACATGAAACAATGGGACATCTGAACATTGAAATCAACGGTAACTTTGTTTTTAATATTGAAGCATGGTGAGTTGAAGAATTCCTTTAATGATCATCAAACTTGGGCCATTTCATCATTAATATGTGAAATTTTGTGTGTTTTTTGTTAATCTCATAGTAACGGAAAGCATGTCTTCTACAAAAGAAAATTCATTGTGGATTTTGTTTTGTAAATAGAATGTTAATTTATTATAGCGGTTTCGTAATGTACATTTCTTATATTTGACAAGAGAGAAGTCCGAGTGAAACAGAATTATTTATGAGGGAAATAAAGAATCATGTTTCCCTACAACAAGGCCATATGTAAATATTTATTATCCCGAAATCAAACAATAACACAACAGTGAGTATCATCAGACTTCCGTGTCGTCGTTGCCTGCTCCAGTCACTCAGAGCTCAGGTGTGATTCCTCTTGCTTATTTTCAATGAGGTTCAGAATTAGGGAAATATGATCAGGGAGACTAAAATAAATGAGGGGAACATGATGTTTTATTTCCTCATTCATGTAATCAATATCATTCAACCAGACCCACTGTTATACATACATGAGGTATATTATATATACTGATATTTCAGGGTATGGCTCTGAGTATGGGAGACAAGATCAACCTGTCGCAGAAAAAGGTGCACAAACCTGGGGCATCGGCATAGTGTATCAACTCAACAGAAACAGCATGAAACAGACAAGAAGGAAGTGTTGTCATAGCAACCAGAAGCCAAGACATGTCAAAATGGAGTAAACGGCTATGTACAGGACATTGGTCATCAGTGATTTTGAAGTTGTTACGGATGCTGTTTATCTGTTATATGGGAGAAGATTCAGGTGTTTAGTTAACTGTACAGGACAGTATGCGGAAAGTCGTTAATTTCCAAATCGAAAACATTGTACAAATTGTATGTATGTTTTTGTATGAAAAACAATTGTATTCATTTTGAGAATTTGGAATCAAGTCAAAAAGTTACCTTGACTAGCCATTGTTTTTAGATATACCCTCCAGTATATCGATTTGTCACCATCTTATTAATCGTGTTTTCCTCCTTATTTATTTACAAATTCCAAGAGTTGATGGTCGTCAATTGTGACTTTACTTATTTCATTAACTAAATTATTCTTCTGTAGAATTTGAAAGTTTAAATCTTTCATGCTTCAAATCATGGTGATACTGTGTACTTGAACAAAAATAAATATGATATACACTTAAAATGTGTTTATATTGTATTCATTTGGGACGTGAAGCTATCGTTAATATTGTCAGTCCTCTATGACCTTTAATGTTGACCGCCGATTACCATATTATTACAGGTGAGTCAATATTAATTTAAGGAGGATATGTAGATACTGTAAAAACCTGTGTATTTTGCCCTGCAGGTACTTTTTGGGGTTGAAAAAACTGAAAAAAGCTTCTACTTATATATTTTGTGCATTATTTTTTCCCCCCCCTCAAAAACGATGTCAAGAATGCCCAAAAAAATTAACCTCTGACACGAAACTTTTAAAATTAATTATTTAAGAACTTTATGCAGATGCATATCGGTGTATGTTTTCTTTGAATTACGGGGTAACATCAATCTGAACATATGCGCATATCGTCGCACACCAACCCAACTTACGTAAACATTCATATCTTACACAAACCATCATAGGTACATATCTCGAGTTGAAAATTATAATTAGACACCTGTTATGAGTAATTATGATTGCTGTGAGCAGGGTTCATCAGTAGCTTTGGATATCGTCACTATAACACAGCACAGTTCCCGTCACAATCGATGTGTGGGTCACTAACGGTCACAATCGATGTGTGGGTCACTAACAGTCACAATTGATGTGTGGGTCACTAACAGTCCAATCGATGTGTTGGTCACAAACAGTCACAATCGATGTGTTGGTCACTAACGGTCACAATCGATGTGTGGGTCACCAACGGTCACAATCGATGTGTGGGTCACCAACGGTCACAATCGATGTGTGGGTCACTAACGGTCACAATCGATGTGTGGGTCACCAACGGTCACAATCGATGTGTGGGTCACTAACGGTCACAATAGATTTGTGGGTCACTAACGGTCACAATCGATGTATGGGTCACCAACGGTCACAATCGATGTGTGGGTCACCAACGGTCACAATCGATGTGTTGGTCACTAACGGTCACAATCGATGTGTGGGTCACTTACGGTCACAATCGATGTGTGGGTCACTAACGGTCACAATCGATGTGTGGGTCACTAACGTTGTACTTTGTATCAAAACTTACAACTGCAAAATAGCCTGAAATTTCACCACTGACCACTTGAATTTGACTTTTCTTTCTGTCAGAATTAAAAAAAACTCTCCAAATGTTCTATCCATTTCAGTGGAGTCTTTTGTAATACATATATGCAAAAGTTTCAAAAAAATACATCTATATATAAAGTTACGACCATTGGACGGAAATTATTATCATCATTCTTGGAATATGTCCTGACAAATTTTGAGGCACATTGTTAGCTTATAATAGGTTTCGGGTACAAAACCTGACCAATTGCTAGGCTGATGTCTGTCTTTTGAAGGTATCAGAAGAGAGACGTCCTACTTCAAAGTCGGTTAGTTTTACTCTTTTGCCACAGCGTAATTCTTTTGATGTATATCAAAGGATCAAACAAGTCATCTTGTGTCATCCGCACGGTTGCACAAACAGTCGTTTATTTTTGTCACAACATATGTAGGGAAGAAACGTGGATCAACAGCGAAATCCTTGGCTTACAAAGATGAACAGCTGGTAAAGAATTTTCAAATAAATCAACAGCAACACGATCTACTTTGTATAAAAAAAATGTTTATTTTCCAACACAAATACAATGGATGATCATATGTTTTAGTGTTACACAGATCTCTTAGAAATGTAACCATTAATATCTATTATAGAGGCATAAAGGGTGATTAACCTCAGTCTTTGTTACACGTGACAGAGTGGGGTAAATGATGAGCATCGCTTACCGTAAAACAACCCTCTTCTGTAATACTTCTCCGTAATAATAAATAAGCTTTAAATTGTTTTTTTCTAAAAAAAAAAAAAAATTTAAAAAAAATTATACATAAAATGTTACAATGCTTTCAGCTATTAATTTCTGTTGAAATGAAAAAAGAAACAACCAAGCAAGATAGTTTCAATCCTTGTACATTAAATGCAAAAATGGCATGATTTCACGACTACTTTTAGTATTAAACATTTTGTCCAGTGCAATCTGATAAAAGACATACCTAATGATCTTCATTCTCGAAATTCCAGGGGTCATGACAGATTCCAGGGGTGCAGATAACACATGACAGCGTAACCCCTGGAGTATCAAGGATGAACAATCTCAAAATCAGATGAAATATAAACTTTTTTAAGGACTGTGACTCATTATTAGTACACATAGATTCTAAATATCATTTCATACATTCCTTGAAAAAAGCTTGGTGGGACAAGAAAACCATGATACAAAAACATATTTAAAATGTAACAACACTTTCAGGTTGATATATCGGCTAGGGAAAGCAGCGCAAGCCAGCTATGAGGATGGATTTGGCATTTGTGTCTTCTCCAGCATTCAAATCATAACTTTTATACAAGCACATGCACACATTATTCCCTCAGGAGCTAAAAATAATAATTACATATAAAACAAGTTAAAAATTGTTTCTCCAATCATATTTGGAAATGATAGGATACATCTATATATGTATATGAGGCAGTATAGTACAAGACTTCCATGAGTGATGGAAATGCTCAAAATTAATTAAAATATTGTATATCAAAGTTTTACTTTCTACAAAAACAATGTACGTATTAAACGCGTCGCAACGTTTCAAGACCGACTGCTCACTCAGTCATAGCTTGACAAAGGGACCCGTCGGTCTTGAAACTTAGCGACACGTTTTATACCTACATTGTTTGCGTAGAAAGTAAAACTTTGATATCACATATTTCCAAACTGATGAATCTTATTGAAGATAAAATATTGTACAATTTTTTTATATCCTTCAAAAAGTCAAGGGGCCTACACATAATCCCTTGCTAAAAGTATCGAGATAGGGCTATTTCAGGACAACAAACAAAACCGTATTTGTTGGCATTTCTATTGAAATGTAATAAATATGGATGAGCTTATAAGTAGGCGTTGACTTAATGCCAAATATGTGCTCTTTAAATGGAGATGTACCAAGTGTTAAAAATTGAACAAGTGCAGTTAGAAATTTTTCATATTTTTGAACACTAATAAATTATCATCTAGTTAATATTTCTCTCTCTCCAGACATTCTACAGTAAAATTAATTTTGTGTTTAGCGTTTTTCGGATTTGAGATTTCAACTATCAAATAAAAGCCCGGCAACATTTGTAGATGAAGAAAATCTCGACCAGTTTCTTGTGTAATTGAAGTATACAAGACCAAGGAAGCCACAAACAGAATTCAGGCAACTTGTAAACAATGATAAATAACCCCATAGACAGCAATGAATTCACCAAATTTAATTAATCTTTGAATTGCATGGTGATATGGGTAAACTATGAAAACTTCTACTTTTGATTTCAATTTTAAAAAGATCAACAATGGCAGTGTTATACCTTTAAGGATTAAAGAGCAATGACAGTAAAAATAATCCTATATGTCCAAATACAGCGCATATACCTCTAATATACATGCATATCAGAGCAGTCGAATACAAAATAAAATCTTTTAAAGTTTATGCATTGGATACACGACATCAAATATTTTAGGATTTTGATAAACATTTTCAAACCCATCTAGAATTCTGAAGGACTGTATTCATCAAATATCCATTCATATTAGCCAACTGGAGGATCCCTATTCCGACGTGGGCAAAATACTAGAGAATTCCACATATTTTGGGATTCAAAGTAGCCTCCCCTTAACTTTGTTTTGGAAAATAACTGTATCGCAACTGGGGTCAAGGGTTCGAATCCTGGTAAAGCCCCGCTGAATTTTTACACATGAAACAAAAACTTTGATCACTTTCTCTTTTTTTTTCATAAATGTCCCACAAGGTACGATTTTCTTTTCAGAAAAGATTTATCAAGCTATAGATTTAACTTACCAGGAAGAGACGTTTACGGTATATAGTTACAAATTTTGGCAGTGGTACGGGGATCCTTAATCATGCTATTTTTCTGGATTCATTGTACAGATGCATATTTTTCCACATTGTGAAACATTTCTGTTTTCATTCTAGGTAGGGCTGTGCAAGTTTGAAGTAAACTATAATGCAACATTTTATTCTATAAGCTGTAACTAACAAATACATAAATTATATGTAAGTTCACATCTTTGTATTGGAGTTTGAGCATACGATTAAAACTTCACAGGAAAACCTGTCGTTTAGGCATGGAAATATGCATGTAACTTAGAGAAGTTCTCGGCAATAAATACTGGTCGCAGACCGGGATAATTCAACATAATGACTTATGACAATCTCTAAAGATAAACCATATCACCCACACTGGGTTAGATGAGATGAGTGAGGGAAGCAAGTCCCGACAAAATAGCCAATCTGGAAAAATAATTAAAAATAACAACACGCATAGCACTACATACAACGTACAATGTACTTGAAGTCAATTTGAACAATTTCTTTAGCTCAATTATAACAAGTTGAACCTGAAGCTTCTACATAATTGGAACTGAATTTCACAGCCATTCTGTTAATGAATTATCAAAGTTTTACTTTCTACACAAACAATGTACGTAATAAACGTTTCGCAACGTTTCAAGACTGACTGGTCCCTTTGTCAAGCTATGACTTGAGTGAGCGTGTTTTTTTTTACCTGTACAACCTGTGTGACGAAATTGTATATTTTTTATGACACTCCACCTGGGACGTTTCGCCTATCGATAGGGAGCATAAACACACTGTATCAGATAGGTTACAGGTAGGGTGTAGATCTAGCCCCCCTCCCCTGTTATGTCAGTCTTGAAACATTGCACCATGTTTAATACGCACATTGTTTGTGTAAAAAGTAAAACTTTGATATCACATATTTCCAAACTGATGAATCTTATTGAAGCTTTTAATGAATTATTTTCCTGAAAATTTGGGTGTTGAATAAACGGGGCAAAATATTCAAATGCAAACTTTTGTTTTTAATTTAAATAATGAAATAAATAAAATTTCATATATCAATATACCTATACAATTCAGTGACAACAGGTAAAAAACGTATGTCTACATG